GGAGCAGCTCCCTGGAATGGCCCCCTCCCCCTGGCGCCGCCACCCCGCCTCCCGGGGGCAAGCTCACCTGGAGACCGGCGTCCCGCCTCTAGGGCAGAGGAGGCCGCTCCCAGGCTCCACCGCGGGGGAGAGCGGAGAGAATAGACCGGCTCCCCCGTGGCAGCCCCCCTACCCCCGTGGGCCCCGCAGCTTAACGACACCGCCTCCACTCCCAACTCAGCAAGATGAGTGGGACAGCTGTGTCCGGCGACCTGGGGCAGCAGAGGCCGCTTCCAGGCCCGGCAACCGGGAGAAGGCAGCTTTTCCACCAGTTCGCCAGAGGCAGCCCAGCTCCGCCCCCCTGCCGCTGCCGCCGCCCCCTGACCTAACCGCCCCACCTCCCAGGAGCAAGCTTACTTGGAGTCCAACATCTGGCGAATCTCCGGCAGCCAAGGCCCCCCCAGTCCAGGCTGCAGGGAAGAGAAGAAATCGACTGGCTTGCCCGGGCAGCCTCCCACCCGCCGCCGCCGCCGCCAACCATTGCACTAGCCTCCTGGGGTCAGGCAGACTGCGAGGATGTGCACTTGCCTTCTGATCCTGGCCACGTGCCTGAGCACCTCCCTGCACCCCTACACTCCCTGTACCTCTGCACCCCTGCCACTCTCTGCACTGCCTGCACCCCCGCATCCCCTGAACTGCCTGCACCCTCCAAAGCCCCTGCACCCCTGCCACCACTTACACCTTTGCACTGTGTACACTCCTGCACCCCTGCATGTCCCACACACCACCTCTTGGGCCTGTGGTAGTCTCTGCTGTTAGACCAATGCACAGGACTCACATCTTTGCCAGTATATGATGCATCAGTGGACGTATGGGGTTGGCTGCAGTAAGATACATGTTCCCGGTCACTAGCTTGGGCCACTAGGGTGATCTCTGTGATGTCACCCAGGACGGGCTCAGAGATAATGTTTTCTGGGAAGAGAGGAGTTGAAACCGGTCTTGAGGGCAGAGCTGTGCTCAACAGGCCGTCCACGCTTCATGTTTTACACAGGGCTTTGGAGAAGTGAAATGGATCCGGTCAAGTAAGACCAGCCTGCTGTGCGCCCACCTCAGTCTTGAGCTCTGAAGTAGACCGACGGGCTCCTACCTTCAGGACCCAGTTTGGGCACCTGAATGGTCCCTTGGTGGCATCCTATTACTTCTCAGGAAGAAGTCTGGCTGCTTCCAACCCATGGCCCTCCCTCCTACTCTGCTGGCCTCAGGAAGGTTCCTTATTTGGGGAAGAAGGCAGCCCACCCCCTACCCAACCCCTCACCTTTCTCTAACCCAGGCTGGTGCTCTCTCTGCCCTTCAGAGTCTGGAAAGCCATTCCTCATCAGTTATGTCCCTTCTGAGATGGACTTGCTTCCACTCAATTCTAGGCAAGGATGCACCATGGAATGCACTGGGTAAGAGAACCAAAATAAATAGTTTCTTCTCTGAGCTTTTCTGTTTATCTACTGGGGATGGGTTGTGTGTAGTTTGCTACAGCTATTCGTGCGAGAGGCTAAAGCCACCTGTCTGTCCTTGTTTTCATCTCCCCGCTGTCTTTGGGTTTTCCCTAGACACTCCTGAGACATTTACTTCTTTTAATTTTATTCCTGTCATTACACAGGGGCCCTACTGACATGGAGGTAAGTTGTTGGGGGAACGGGACAGATTATGTCATCTGTAGTCCTGTGATTATTTCTCATTTAGCCTGTGCCCTGAGCTGTGACCTCCACAAGTGTGTTTCTTTCCCCCAGCCCAATTTGGGTGACATAGAAGGTATTTCCCTTCCCTCAGGTAGGTTAGGCTCTGGTAAAATAATTTCTCATTAAAAAAAAACACACACACACAACCCCCCACAATGGAAGAGATTGTTCTTGGTGTATTTCAATAGAGCTATTTTTTCCTTTCCTGGCAGGAAGCATGAGTTTTCCTATGATTTTCACTCTGAGAACAGGGTACAGTCCTGGAGGTAAAATGCATGAAAAAGAGCAAGGGGCCCCTCTGACTGGCCCCCTGGAGTTGTCACACTCAGACTTCCCCAGGCTGAGCCTCCAGCTGGCCTCAGGGACCTGTTAAATCTGCCTGCCCCCGGGGTTCTTACAAAATCAGGTTCTGCCCTGGGAGCTGTGACTCTCCAAGCCTGCCTGGCTGCCTTTCTGGGTTGGGAGCAGCTTTTCCCCTCAGTTTTCTTGTGGATCTAAGAAGAGCAGTGGGTTTTCAGCTCCCTCAGCTCTGGTATTGTTTTCAGGACAGAAGGAGCAACTTCTGAGCACCTCACAAGCTGGACCACAGGCTGGAAGCCTCCCTTCCTCTGACTCCATGCAGACAATCAGTGGCTGTGGTTCTAGCCGAGTTTCTGAAGCTGTGGATTTAAGCACACAAATCCCAGCCCCCACAGGAGAACACAGTCTCATAAATCCCTACAATTTCCACTGGTAACTACGGAGCTGATGGGGACACGGGTTTCAGGGCTGCAAAGGCCTGACTGCACGACTTGCTCCGTGGACTATTTACGTGGTTGTTCTGGGCCTTGTCTGAAGTGGCTTGCTTACCGCACCTGGTACATGGGAAATATAAAATAAGTACTAGAACCTCCACTTTTTCTCCCTCTTGGGCCTTCCAAACTAAAAAGTAATAAGTGAACTCAGACAGCCGAGTCACCACAATGAGGTCAGACCAGCCTGGCTCTCCTGAGTGATGGGCACTGACTTACACGTTAACTCGGAACAGTAGGCAACCGCCTTCCTCTAACTGGGCCTCTCCCCACACCAGGCACGCCCTCAGCTGAGAGGGGGCCAACTCCCCCATGGAGGTGTGTGCTGGTGGTTTCAGTGTGACATGGCCCTGCCGGGACATGAACTTGCATTGAGGTGGAGGGTCGGGGGGGTCCCTGCTGGGGCAGCAGGGGGCCTGGCAGCACCCTGCCCAGCCTGGTGCCTGGGTCTCCCCAACATCTCCTACGGCCCCCAGGTCAGCTCTCGTCCGGGCCAATCCACACACCTTCCCAGTATCTTTTCATTAAGTCCCTTTCTTGCTTTTATCAGCCAGAGGTGGTTTCTGTTGCTTTTTCAGTGAAACAGTGCAACAGGAAACCAGACTATTTCTAAGATCAGTAAAATACCAACTTCGGTCAGCTCGCCGGGCAGACCGTGTAGCACAAATTCCCGCACTGGGCTGTGCAAATGGCTTACGTGAAGGGTCCTCATCATCTGTCTTCAGAGATACAGAAGCTGGTGGTTCAGGTAAAACCTCACGGAGGGATTGAGGAATCCAAGCTGGTTGATTTCAAAGACTAACCAGTTGGACCAGACCCCTGAGCTGTGGTCAGAAGCCTGGCTCAATGTCAAGCAGACTCAGAGACCTAAGTGTCCGGTGGGGTCGGTGCTGTTCCCTTTACAGGCTCTCGTTGGGGAGTCACTGTAGCCCCTTACACTCAGCAGGGAATCCAGCCCTCTTAGCCCCCACCCTGAGTGTTTCATGGCACAAATCTCGGGATAGTTTAATTTTCATCTTTGTTTAGGAGGATGAAGGTGGGGCAAGAGGTGACATAAATTCACACTTAGTGACACCAAGTCACAGCCAGTACCTCCTCCTCGGAGAGCTATGTGCTCCCACAGTGGTGGCTGGGGGGCTGGGCAGAGCCCCTCCACTGGTACCAGAGGGACTCACTCCTCTGGCTACAACTGATGGGTTGGACAACCAATCCAGAAGGGACAGAGCATCTTTTCCGGGAATTTGGAACTGACACACAGAAATTAATTTCACTCATCTGGGGATTGGGAGGAGGGTGGGAATCAAATGAAA